ATTGTTATACAACTTGAATTCAGTACTTTATTTTAATTTTTACTTTATTTTTTAGTATCTTATACTGGTATTTATTTTGCTTGTTTGTGCTTTATAAGGTTCTGATGACAAGATCTTGTGATCTTCTTTCAGATCCTAGCTTATGTTTCATTGTAAGCAGTTTATGTATGTGCGCATCTACGCATTTGTATGTGTATATATGCTTATATTTATATATGTATGTCCGTGTTTTTTCTTATTTTAATTTAGTTGATAAATGTTGTAACACGAATTTAATTGTAACACGATATATATGGCATATATAATTGTACTTTGACATTTTAATGTAAGCAAAATTAAAAAAAAAAAAAAAAAAAAAAAAAAAAAACTTTTAAACCATATTTACTCATGGAATGAAATTTTAAAAAAGCTTTTGCATTACTATGAAGAAAAATTCAAGCTAAAATAAATAAAATTTATTGATTAGCCTACATTTTGTGAATAAAAGACCATTTATATCAAAAATTGACTATAGTTACGTTAGTTCTAAGACCAAAATTTCAAAAAATACAAAGTGAAAATTCCATTTTAGTGTCAAATGGAAATCAAATCTACACGTATAACTTGGGAAATTTTTAGGTCGAATTGTAAAGTCTAAGAAATTTTATTCTGGAAAAGGTGACTAAAAAAAAAGCAAAAATTAATAACTGAAAAAAAAAACCGAAAATAAGATACTAAATAGAAAATAAAAAGTATCACAATAAACACCACACAGAAAAAAAATCAATATGCTCCTGTCATATAAGACTCACAGCAATTTGTGTTTGTCTGTTCGTCAATAAAAAATTTTTTTTTAGCTTTTAAAACTTTTCTTTGCTTTTTGCATGAACTACTTGACTTCTTGTTAGCTTTTATTCTACATAAATCTCGTTTTGGGTCATTTATGCAAAATGAAGAAAATCTCAAATTAGTATAAAAAAAAAATATTTAATTTTTCTATTTTCAAAACGTTTTTCTAAACTTGATTTCTTGTGTGTTTGTCCGTCCGATTAAAATCATTGAAGCTATATTTATATAAGCTATATTTATATATATATATATATATATATATATATATATATATATATATATATATATATATATATATATTTGTATATTTATATATATATATATATATTTATATATGTATATATATATATAATATATATATATATATATATATATATATATATATATATATATATATATATATATATATATATATATATATATATATATATATATATATATATATATATATATATATATATATATATATATATATATATATATATATATATATATATATATATATATATATATATATATATATATATATATATATAAGCTCAGGATAGCTCAGAATCCGATGGCAATGCATTTTTCAAGCTTTGGCAGTCAATATTCTTCTCAATTTCAATAAAATAAAATTTTATATGCAGAAAAAATATATAGCGACTTAAGTGATTACTTAAAGAAAAAACTAGTTTCTCAAAATTTTCTTTGTTAATTATTTTTAATTAATGAGTTCAATACTTTTGCGTTGCTTTTGCTAACTCTAACTAATTATATAAAATATTTGTAACGGACAAAAAATATTTCAAATAATTTCAGCACGCGTATTGAAAAAAAATTTAGTAAACAAATAAATAATAAATAGTGTAAGTGTTAAAAATAATTATTGCGATAACCAAACAAATCTAAAAAGTAAAAAAAATATTTTGCAAATTTTATAAAACTTATATTAGTTTTCAGTTATTTTTAAAAGGAAACCACATCCATCCATTTTCAATAAAGTATAGTATCAAACTATAAACATATTTCACTAAAATTTAAAATTAAAAAAATGTTACAATCTAAAAATAATTTAAGGTTTTCCAAAGTAAGAAACATTGCTATAGCTATTTTTTCTTTACTTTTTCCATTTATAAAATCTTTTGCTATAGCTTTTACATCTATTTCCGCGGTGTTCAATTTATAAAGTTGAAGAAGTAGAAGATGATTCAATTGCTTCTAAGTCGAGGTCGGCCGACTATATGGCCTTATCATTCTTAGATGAGAGAAAGATCTCTCGGCTGTGTAGGTTGTCAATGGTATCGCCAAATAAATTTTTAGAAAATGTGATATTTCAGAAAACATTAATGAGACTCCTTTATAGTCGTTTAACATATCAATTATAGTTGTGATTGATGTTACCTGTTTAATGTTCATTTTATATGTAATGTTATAAGTTTTCTTAATGGATTTTCCATGTTTAATGTTCATTTTATATGTAATGTTATAAATTCCCTTAATGGATTTTTCATAAACTATATCATTTTTATAGAAAAAATTTATATTATCTAAAGCTTTCATATCCCTAATAGGGACATAAAAGCTTTGTCCCTATTAGGGACAAAGCTTTCATGTTATGAAAAATTAACCTTTATAATGTCCCAATAATAAAGATTATTATTGTCCACTGCAATTGGTGATAGGGAGTCCCCTATCACCAATTGCAGTGGACAATAATAACCTTTCTAAAGCAATTATTGATTTCATTGAATTTTCTGGGAACCGCTAATTTAATTGACTTTCTATAACATCAAGTACCTCGTAATACTGAGCTCGGTAATATTCCATCGTGTCCCATTTATGAATGTTCAAAGTATTATCATCAAAACGAGAAGGAGTCAAACGTCGGCGAGACAAAGAAGCATGAGGTAAATTGCAACCAAATTTCTTAACTTCTTCATTAACACAAGATTCAAAAAACGATTTTAAACGTGTTTCTGATCTCATAGATGATATATGAATTTTAAATAACATTATTGATAAAGCAATTGTTTGAGCCTCTACTTCAGTAGATTGCATAAGTTGAGAGACTTGCTTTAAAGTTCCAAACACATCATAAGCCGGGCGAAGCCCATAATATAATTGAAATGATAATAATTTGTCAAGTAAACCTTTTGCTTTAGCTCTGTTAGGATCATTTGATTCAGAAATTACTTGAAGCTCTAAAACAATTATTTAATAATTTGTCAGAATTGAACCATATGATTTGGTCCTCGAGGTAAAGCGAGTTGGACAAGGATCACTTAAATTGGTTTGCTTGACATCCTCGTTAAGTATATCGCATTATAATTTTTTAAACCTTACCAGTCTCTTTTGAGCTAAACAAATGAAATTATACAACAGCTGGCACAATTCCTGTCCCTCGTTCACACAACTGACTTGTTTACAAGCATCTTGAAGAACAAGGTTGAGCCGATGCGCGTAAGAACGTATAAAAATAGCTTCATTGACATCATCTTGAAAAAGTTTAGCAACATCACTTAGATGCCCTGACATTGAAGCGACACCATCGTAACTTTGCCAACGCACCATTTTCTTGTCTAGTCCACATCTTAATAAAACATCACATATTGCATAAAAAAACAACTTATTGTCGGTAGCATCAACTGCATAGAGACCAAGAAAATTTTCGCATTTTGTAAAATTCTCAGAAACTGATCGAACACATATAGACATTTGCTCAATACCGAAAATGTCTCGAGTTTCATCGCATATTATAGAAAAAAAAATTATCGATTTAATGGCACTAAGTACATTTCTTAAAACATAATTTGCAATTAATTACATCATTTTGTTAACAATATCATGAAACATGTCCTAACTGTTTGACAACCAGATCAATAGAGGTAGATAATCTTCACTCCTCATTAAAAGTAACTGATTAAGATTGCCTTCAATTTCATCATTTCGTCGAATAACTAAGCCTTGTTGAGTAACACATTTTAATTTAGAGATTTAAATTAGTATTTTGTATTTGCAAATACAAAATACTAATTGACCTGTAGCGGCTTGAAGTTGTGATTTAAAACAAGATAAAAACTTTTAAAACAATAATTTTACAAACTTGAAAAGGGAGGGGGGGGGGGGCTATAATGCCAAAAGCCCCCACACTTTTAAAAGTGAGGGGGCTGAAGCCCCCACTGTTCCGCCACCCCTAGATACACTAAAATACATCAACACAAACAAAGCATTAAATCAAATGTTATACTGCATAATGTCATAATATTATCAAATCACCACTTGCGCCTAATGTTTTTCGTTTTATGCGTATCAAATTTGTTATAAAATCTGTCATAATGATGACAGATGATAAGAGGAATATAATCAGACATTTTGATAAGCTCAAAGAAAAATTATTTTCTACTTTTTAGTTCGCTTGAAAAACGTTGTTTTTAAAAAAAATTTATTTTTTATTCTAGATTTTAATGGTATAGGAACAAAATGCGAAATTGACTGATGAAATTATTAACATAACTCAACAACCTGATAACCATATTTATGAGCATCTCTACAGTCGTTTTTCAAAACGCTTTAAGGTAAAAAAAAAGTTGCCTACAAACTGTATTGAATATTTTTAAAGAATTACAAAAACTTTCATAAAAATTATTATTTTAAAAAACGTTTTTCAAAGAGTTTCTCCTATTAATTTTTTTTTAATTGCTTTTATCTCAAAATACGTAAAAAGTATCTTTAAGCGTTTTAAAAAATGACGGTAGTACTGGTAGGTAAAATTGTTGATCTTCTCTTCACTAATAAAAATATAAAAAACTTTCGTAAAAAGAAAATTGTTATCAGGCTAATATAATTGTAGTGCATTTGATAGACCAAAGCTATTTTCAGGATCAGGATCAGGATCAAGAATTTTCAGGATAGGCTGTTTATTGAAAAAAAAAGCATTTGGATTAAGTTGGCAAAATTTTCACGTTGGCTTATAGTATTTTTTTTTTAATTTGTAACAATAATGCGAAACTTTATTTTTTACTAAAAAATAAAAATAAAAATATTTTCAAGGGATTATACTAATTTTATTTGTTACGAGCCTAAAGTAATGCCGAAATTTTGGTTTAAAATAAGCAGTGAAAAAATGTCTATAAATTTGCAATTAATAATACGTAATCATTCAAGATTCCACTTTAATATTTATTTTAAAAAAAATAGATTTTGAATACAAAAAATCAGAATATCTGGTGCAAATTCTATTTTGAATAAATAAGTTTAAAAAAAGTTTATATTTACAAATTAATTACGTCAAAATAAATTAACTTAAAAAATACGTAAAAAAAAAAAAAAAAAAAAAAATTAATTTAAAAAATACGCCAAAATAAATAAAAAGTATTTATAAACTTTATTATTCTTATACTTTAGAATTACGAGACATTACATATATATAAAAAAAAAAATTAATAATTTTTTATAAAAGTTTAGAAAATTTCTTTTCATGAAACAAACGAAAGATTTTTGGTATTGAACGTTGCCTTCTTCTTTACTGCTTATCCCAATTGCCGGTGGATTTGCTTTTTTCAACAGCAGCTTTTGTCTTAGCATAGCGCTCATCTGCTCCTTCAATTGTTCCACCAAGTTTTCCACTTTTGTAGTCCGAAAAAGCTTGGATGATTTCTTCTTGTGTGTTCATCACAAAAGGACCGTTGCGTACAATGGGTTCATTTATAGGCTGACCGGCAAGTACTAAGACATGCATATTATGATTGGCAGACGCTTCCAAATAAAATACGTCTCCAGTCTCACTTAATTTTGCAACCTAAAATGTAAACAAATAAAAACTTAAGTGATATTAGTTTTCAGAGTTGGTTTGTGATATAAATTAACGAAACATAACTTTAGAAATGGCTTTCAATAATTCAAAAGGTGGATCTTAACTTAAAAGCCTAATATTCAAAGTAAACCCACCTCAAAAAAAATTATTTAGGACTTTGAAAAATTTCTATAAAAACTATAAGAAATAAATAAACTAAAAACTCTTTGTAATTCATATTGGACAGATTATGAGTTACAAAGAGTTTTTTTTATTGTCTTCTACGAACCAATATTATTTATTAAGTAATATAGGTTGGTATAAGACTAAATAGCATATCGATACATGAGAATTATAAAGTTTTATCTTCCAATTTTCATGATTAGAAAATTTAATTTTCTATATTATTCTAATATCACAACTTATCACTTGAAAACAGAGCTAGACAACGACATCAATGATTGTACAAAAATTTGTATTCTTCACACACACACACACACACATATATATATATATATATACATACATATATAAATATATATATATGTATATATATATATATACATACATACATACATACATACATACATACATACATATATATATATATATATATATATACATACATATATATATATATATATATATATATATATATATATATATATATATATATATATATATATATATATATATACATACATACATACATATATATATATATATATATATATATATATATATATATATATATATATATATATATATATATATATATATACATATATATATATATATATATATATATATATATATATATATATATATATATATATATATACATACATACATACATTTATATATATATATATAAAAAAAGCAAAATGCACCTGTCCATGAACGGCATGCTGCTTTTCATTTCCCAACATTCCTTCTCCTCTCCAAACATAAACAAATGCATTATATTTGTCAGGAATAGGAACATCAATAGACGCTCCTTTATTTAAGGTAATATCAAGAAACATAATTGGTATTTTGGTTTCAATGGCTGCTGCTACACCAAGATATTCACCAGCAATTACCTTCACAGAACCTTTCTCATCTAAAAAAATATAACAATAATTAAAATTTAAAAAAAATGAAAAAGAAAATAAAAAGGTAAAAGTCAGTGTTATATAAAAAAAAAGTCTTAAACAAATATAGACAAATAATGACAAAAGTGCATTAGAAATGGCGTTGTTATATTTTAAATTCTTCATATCTAACTATGTTTATAACTAAGAAAACACTTTGAAAAGAAATAAGTTTTTTTCAACTTTCTTTTAATTTTTCAAAATTTAATTATAAATGTGAACTTACAGCCTTTACAGAACTTTCAGTATCTAATTAAGAAACTTAAAAAAAAGTAAAACAACTTTAAAGTAGTTTTAATTCAGTATTTAAATTTTTATATTTTATACAATTTATATTTAAATACAAACATAAAATATATATTTTTTTTGGTAGCAGCCCAAATCATAAACTTGCTCATGCTGAAGTAAGAAAATTTTGTTTGAGACAAAAGTTAAACTAGAAATCAAATCATTACTATGGTAATTACTATGTATCCATTATATGGCACCAATAATTTATGCATCCATTATATGGCACCAATAATTTATGCATCCATTATATGGCACCAATAACTTATGCATCCATTATATCGCACCAATAATTTCATAAATTATCTATAACTTCACATTTCAATTTATACTTTACATAAATCATGAGACACGATCTTTTAATCGCAAAATAGACCCTGATTTAGAGCTAAAAATGGAGATTTAAAAAGTTATCATTTGAAGAAACAATTACAAAAATAGAAAAACCTTGTTAAAAACGATATGACAGATATGACAAATATGCAGTATTCTGAGTTCAATAGAATCTTGTTTCAAATAATATAATAAAATGAATAAAACTAATTTTATTTAAAAAAACAACACGTATTTCAATCAGATGCTCACTCATGGCTATATATATTTTTTGTCACAATATATCTCAGCCACGGCTATATAGTTTTGTTTTTTTGTAATTATTTTTACTATCACATTCTTAAACTGTTTTTGCTAATTGATTTGTAAGTAGGATGTACCGGTCAAATAGTTTTTTATTTTTTCAAAAACTATATCAATCAATAATAAAAACCAATACACATCGCGCATTACATCTATACAATGCACAACGTTAATTTTTTTACTGATTTTCTTTAGATTATTTTAGACAATATTAACAGACTTGAATAAAATTAATTAATATTTAGATTATAAGTAACAAGGTTTTTTTTTTTACTGATTACCTTTTACTGATAGTCTTTGCATGCTAAATTTCAAAGCATTGTGGGTAATTTGCAATGTTGCTTATGATACTATGTAACTCAAAAAACTAAGCTATTATGTAACACTTGATATTGTAACTAATTGTTGTTAAAAGAAAAAGTAATAATTTTATTTCATTCTCATTCAGTCTAATACAATAATAACTCTTTAGCACAAATTAATGGGCAATAGCATAGGTATCCAGCATTTTAATTCTAGTACTAATTTAATTGTTATTAATGCTTGAAATAATACTACTTTTATCAAAAATTTATAAACTTTCTAGCTGATTGATATTATTTTTTTGAAAAATTGATTTGATTAAAAGATTGGATCCTGGCACAAAACAATCCTCGGCCATTTAAATAAGTTTAACTTTTTTTTTAACAAAAAACTTAGTAACTCATTAAGAATGCTTTAATTTTAACTCTATGATCAAATTAAAGGTGAAGTAGAAATATGGAGCATGAGGTAATTTTAAAAGATTACAGTGCAATTATAGTTTATTGTGTTTTATAAACTAGTTCCTAGTTTCTTTTTAAAAATTCAAACTTTAATAATTGTCAAAAAGTTAAAGCCAAAGCAACAACCAAATCATATTTACTTAGCTTTGCATTCTTTGCAAATATTTGTTTTTAAATTTTAAATACAACAGAATAAAACTTGTAATCATAATAATCTTGTTAGTGTAGTCAACAGCAACAGCAAAGCGTTTTTAAAAAGAAATTTTAAAAACAACAATTTATCAAATTTTACAGAATATTTATGAAGACTGTGCTCTAATAAAGCAAACATCCTAGAAGTGGCTTGCATGGTTCTAAAATGGCAACTTTGACAGACAAAAAAGTTTAAGCTGATTAATGAATTAATTAATAACTTAAACTTTCCAAACATTTACATAACTTAGGACTTATGAAATACCTGATATGGGATAACCATTTTATTGACTACCAGAATTTTATTGACTACCAGAATTTTGTTGATTATCAGAATGGTTATTGGCCACAACAGTGTTTTCCAAAGACAATTATTTAAATAACTAATTGTAAATCACTTTGGATGTAAAATGGTTTGTCAGAATATATAGATAGTAGCAGAACAAGATTTTTTACTGCATTGTAACTCACGTTGTTGCAATGTAACTCACATTGTTAACGCTCTTGTAGTCACATTGCAAATGTTCTTGTAGCTCACATTGCTGATGTTCTTGTAGTTCACGTTGCTAATGTTCTTGTAATCACATTGCAAATGTTCTTGTAGCTTACATTGATAATGTTCTTGCAGCTCAGTTTTTTCTTGTTTTCTGATGTCTTATCAATAGATGTTTTATCATTAACTCTTTATCTGATGTTTTATAATCATTAACTTTATGATGTTTTATACTATTAACTCTTTCATGAACTTTTGAATGAACTCTTTTCATTAACTCAGTCATGAACTTTATTGATGCTTTATATGGTTAACTCTTTATCTAATGTTTTATCAATAGATGCTTTATCATTAACTTGGATTTTTCTTGGAAACCATATAACAAATCAATTACAAAATTAGCATCTGTTAAAGTTGCATCTCTTTATCGTGCTCAACACATTCTTATTCTGGATTCTATTCTTTATCTTTATAAATCTAAAATCCGTCCTTGTATGGAATACTGTTGCCATATCTGGGGCGGATCTTCTAATGATGCCCTTTCTCTTTTAGACAAGTTGCAAAAACGCATTGTAAACATAGTTGGACCTGCTCTTGCAGCCAACCTTTAATCATTATCACATTGTTGTAATGTTGCTTCTCTTTCTCTTTTCTACAAATAATGGGCACTGCTCTAAAGAGCTAGTGTCTCTTGTGCCATCTACTAAAATTCATTTTTGAGTTACTCATCATTTAATTGTCTCATCTTTTTTCTGTGACTGTTCCTGGGTGCTCCAAAAACTCTTATTTGTCTTGTTTTTTTCCTCGAACATCAGTTCTTTGGAATTTGCTTCCTTCAACTTGCTTTCCTGATTCATATAATTTGCTTGAAGTTGTCTGTCAATCATTATCATGCTCTATAAACTTTATCTTTTCACTTTTAGTAACTTCCAACTCTAAAAAAGGTTGCTTGCAGCCTTGTTGGAAGCGATGTTGAAAAAAAAAAAAAGATGTGGTTTTTTGCAAGCAGCTTGCCACATGTAATTGTGTTTTTGTAGTATTCTTTTAATTGTTTGAAAACTAGCAAAAACGCCAGAAGTTTTTTGTCCTTTTTGACTGAGATTAGTAGATGATAAACTTCTATTATTTTTCGCTATGCGTATAAGTAAAGGTTCATTTCTTTTATTTGAATGATGAGTCTTCCAGGACACGGAAAATTTCGAATTGTATTGTATCTTTAATATTGGTTGATTATTCTGCTTAAAGTTATAGCATGTGTTGTGTTAAAATTTTTCTATTTTGTTCATTCATTATTATGATTTTACATTTTATTATATTATCAATAATTTTTTCAGTCGATTTGATTGTTTTTTTGCTGAAATATTGTAGTTAATTAGATACTCAAATTAGATACGCAAATTTTTCAAATATTTATAACAATTTAAATAAAAATTCTCAAATAATTATAATTAGTTCCCAAATAACTGCAAAGTTTTAATCAAAGACAAATAAAAGTTTGAAGGAATTTTGAAGGAAGAGTAGATTGCTAATTTTGGCCATAATAATTATTTTCGATTATGAGATATATGTCAAAAAAAAAAAGCAATATAATTAGCACATCAAATAATATTTTTATATCTATAATTATTTGAAAGAAAATAAAATGCTCATAATATAGATTTTTTATATTTAAGAAGAGTCAAACAATCATTGGTTTATTATCAACCAAAGTCCAATGATATAAAAAAAACATGCTGGATTGATATTAATGGTCAATACTGTATATAGTATAAACAAATATTTATTATGTAAAATTAAAACAAATTTTATGCACAATAAACAAATTTTTTTTATCTTGAAAAATTTTTAAAAACCTGGTATTTGAACAAGAGGGAGTTTTTCTGGAGGTGTATCTTGATATCGCGGAGGTGACATTTTTAATACTTTAGGTAAGTTTACCCATAGTTGAAACCCTTCCATTCTTCCTCCATTTTTGAGCAGTTCTTCTGTTGGCATTTCACTATGCACAACACCGCTTCCTGCAGTCATCCACTGAACCCAACCAGGACCAAGATTTCCACTATTTCCACAGCTATCTTGATGAAATACACCCCCTAAAATTTACAATAAAAATTTATCAACAGTTTATCATTTTGACGACAATGTCATGGAAACTCAATATACTATTAGTAACATAATTTAAGCATTTACTTATATTGTCAACTGTAATAAAAAATATTTTTTTAATTTGATTACTATGATATTGCAAAATCTTTTTCAAAATTTATGAAACTCTTTCTAAAAAGTTTATTCATTAAAGGGATCCCAAACCTCCGAGACATGAATGAAAAAAAAAGAATGATAAAAAAAAAAATGTTTGGGCTGATTTTTTTTATCAAAACAAAGGAATAAATGAATACCAAGAAAAACTAACTTTTTAATTTTAGTCGAAGCTTGTCTTCTCCATTTTATTGTAGGCCTAAAAGTCAGCATAATATAAGTCGCAATCTACAGACTTGATAATTTATTCAAGCGTGTTTTATTCATATAAGTTTTAGTACATGACGTCATTATTTTTTTGTCTGCTTGCACAAGAGATCGATTATGTAAACAAACAAAAGTCAGTGATTTCATGTTCTAAAATCCTTAGGAAAAAAACGAACTTTAAAAAATTATCAAATCTGTAGATTGTGGCATATATTGTGTTGGCTTTTAGGCCTACAATAAAATGGAGAAGGCGAGTTTTGACTAAAATAAAAAAGTTAATTTTTATTGGTATTAATTTATTATTTTGTTTTAATCAAAAAAATTTAGCCCAAACATTTTTTTTTATCATTCTCTTTAATATGAACACAACATGTCTTGGAGGTTTGGGATCCCTGTAAGATTTTTCTTAAAATAAAAAGTAAATAAGTTAAAAATTGAACTTTTTAGGTGAATGGACACTTATTTTACACTTTTTAGATACAATTGAGTTTTAAAAAGCATTTTCAGATACATTTAAGTTCTAAAGTGCAACAAGCTGCTAATATTTTTCCTATTTAATGCAGACATTGTATGCATACATCATCAAAATACAAAATATCTCATTGATGCAATTAAGTGGAAAAACCTTTAACTGAATTTAATGACATTTATGTAAAAGTATTTCCAAGCTTTGCATTTACATATTGCAACAAGAAACAAACACAAAAGGAGCCATAATATTTTTTTAATATTATGGCTCCGGCCATGGTTTCAGCAACATTAAATATCTAAATTTCAATTGCATGTTCTATTTAAAAAAAAAAAAAAAATTTAATATTCAATGAGCTGCTAGTTCCCAGATACCACAGGCAGAATGGATGAATGGCTTTTTCAGAAATCTACTATATATTTAATAAACTAAATTAAAAATTCAAACTGAAGGGAGCAGAGGAACAGGCATTTTTTTAAAAACTCTGCCTTTTTTGGAAAACCTATGGTTTGGACTTCATGGCTCTAACTCCTTCAAAAAACCTCTGACTACCATCGCTCCTGCTCCCAACCCCTATTTTTTAAGATGGATTTCAACTGCTTGGGTTTACTGAAGATGTAAGTTAACTTGATAATTAATTCAGATTTGTGCACTTCCATAAACCAGTTAAAAATTTCTTCAGGCTCAAGAGAAATGATAAGTGCTGAGTGTTTATTTCCAATGTTATATGCCTGATTTTTACACCCAAAGCAACATCAGGTTGTATGTAGAGCATTTCTGATTTAGATTTAAAAAAAAAAGTAAGGTTGTTTATTACAAAAAATAAAAAATTAAATTAACTTATAATTAAATTTTATTTTTTGTAATTTAGTTACTTATTTTTTTCTGTCCCTTTTATTGCAAATGACAATAAAAACCCTAAACCAAAATACACCAGTCACCAAATAATACTATAAAGAAGTTTGTTATTAAAAATGCTTTTAAAGATGTTTAATGCTTTTTTTTTACAAATTTAAACTTTTTAAAAAGATGTAATTTTTGAGTATATAATTTTTTCTTTAACATCTTCACTTTAAACAAGGCTGCAAGCAACCACTATTAAAGTAAGAAGTTAGTGGAAGAGAAAAAAGATGACTTTTATAAAGCAAGACTAACAGACAAGTTAAAAAATGGCAAATTATATGAATCAGGAAAACGAGAAGGGAGCAAATTCCAAAGAACTGATATTCCAATAAAAGGCAAATAATACTAGGCAAATAATAATTTTTAGTGCATTTAAGAACAGTCGCAGTAAAAAGATGAGACTTAATTGAATAATGAGCAACATGAGAATAAACTTTAGTAGATGGCACAAGAGATGCTAGCTCTTTAATGCAGCACCCATTATAGCATTTATAGAAAAGAGAAAGAGAAGCAACCTTAGCAACCTCAGATGATGTTAATTTTGCAGATGCAACCTAAGCATATACTAATTTTGCAATAGCTTTAAAATATATGGTTTCTAAGAAAGATTGGAAGTAAGAGTACCCTTTGTCTTCTAATCCTAGAAGACAAAGGGTAGATGACTTATCAAGTATATTACCGTTCATAAATATCATAAAATAAAAGATCTAGATTGTTGTGATAATTTGACCAACTATTAGAAAGACAATGCAAGAATCTATATTTTTTCAGTAGAACTAAGATAATGATATAAAATTAAAATTATTAAATAAAAATAAATAATTTCAAAGTCAACATTTTTAATAAAGTTAAGAAAATAAAGCACCTTTCAATTTAAAAAAAAGTTCCTAAAGCCATTATCAATCAATTTAGCATTTTAGTGATAATCTGAAGAGTCAACAAAGCAACTTTAAAGTAATGTTGATGTATTATTTAAAACCATGCTATCTCAAGAACCAATGTGTATCTTTAGTTAAAACTTTTGCAACTATCATTTATTATAGACTGAATATAGAGCAAAAATTACCCAATTCTGAAATGCAAAGCTTAACCTTTCTTTAAAGACATTTGCATATTTTAAATTTTTACTTTAAATATGCAAAATTTAAATGAAAAACTGATGTTTTTTCTCTGACTTGGTATGTGAAATTACTCATAATAAGAGCAGTATAGCAAAAGAAATAAGGGTTTGCTAAGCATTTACAACAAGGTGTAAATGCTTAGCAAATCTATTCATATGTAAATAAAGCACTAAGAAGAATTTAAAAACTTCGAAAAATAAGATAAGCTGTTTGTTTGTTTTAAAAAAATAAAACAATTGCCTCAATTAAGACAATGATGTACTGGAAGTACAAAAAATGTTTTATAATCGTTTCCAAGTTGAATGATACTAATGTGTAGAGAAAATTATAATTGTGATCTTACCACAAAATCTACGTGATTTGGGCAATAAGAGACAGCCTTGATGTTACTTTTGCTATTTACTTATTTAATTGACAAATAGCAAGCTATTTGTTATTCGTTATTGTTATTTATTGTTATTTGCTAGCAAAGACAAAATAGAAAAATTCTTGCTGACTATTTAATACTAGAATGTAGAAGAAACTTTTTAAAACAATTATCTTACCATCTATCACGTATGTTACTGTTTCAAAGCCTCTATGAGGATGATCTGGTGCACCAACTGCTTCTCCAGGACCATAATCAGTTGGACCTAGATGATCTAACATAAGGAAAGGGTCTACAATAGAAATCTTGTCTCCGACTGGCCTTCGAACCATAAATCCCCCACCTTCTCTTTTCTTAACAGAAGTTTCAAATCTCTCGATAGTTCTAGAAGTCATTTTCAATAATATAAAGGTTGTCAGATTTGTGTGATTTTTTTAAATGCACACCTCAAAATATTTTTTTTAACTTGCGTAAATTGTTTTTGATTAAACACGGTTTTACTAAATCACTTAGAATTTTAATTAGTAATATTGTCGTAAATCATTTTGTTCAATGGCGTTGCTCGGTTACATTTTGATGTAAAACACAACTTTTCTATATCAAAGTCGGGGTTCTTAATCAATTTAATGAAAAACTCAACAGAGTTGGTAATGCCGCCCGGCGGCAAAGTAACTTTCTGCCAAAAGGCCGACTTTTTAGGGAGGCGGAGGTGGCCTCCTAATAAATTTTTAGAGGCAAAATATTTTTTCATCTAGCTTCAGTGATTTACATATTTCTATTAGCGGCCGAAGCTAGATTTATTCTTGGAGGAAAAATGTTTTGGAAACCGATGCCGATAGGGAGGGAAGCCATTGGTCACTTAATATTGATAAAACAAAATGGAAACTTTTTCATCCAATTTCTAAAAAGAAATTACTGCCTAATGAAATGCCCGTTTTTTTAAAGACGAAATGCCAACAAAAAGAGAAATATATACTAACTTTTTAGGTGTCTATGTTGACGAAAACTTTAGCTGAAAATATCACATTGAATTTTTGTGCAACAAAGTTGCTAAAAGTATATTAATAATTTACAAAGCAAGAAATACTTTAAATAAACACATTTTAACACAACTAAATTTCTCTTTTATTCATTGTCATACAAATTATGCAAACACTTTCTGGGGCAATACCAATAAATCTAAATTGTAACCACTTTATTTCCATCAAAAGCATTTTGCTCGTCTGATCAATTTTAAAGACACTTTTGCTCATGCCAAGCCTTTCAATATTTATCTGCTGAAACTTGTATATAATGAAAGCAAATACAACTTAAGAAATAATAACTTAATTCATCAACATTTTTTTCAAACTAATTTTGGAATGTCCATATACCATACGCAATCAACAAGAGCAGACGTGTGAACGGAAGAAGTTTAATAAAATAAAATAAAAAATTTTTAATAAAAATAGTAATTTTTTATTTTATTTTATTACTTATTATAGTTAATTATTATTTTTTATTTTTTTCTTCTTTACTAATACTCCATTATGAATAGCTAAAATTTTGTTACAATGGTTATGTTGAAAGAACTGCTATCGGCTCAAGCAGATACATGTTGAAATGTTTTAAAGAAAGCTTTAACAGCATTAATGAAAGAATACTAATATTAGAAAAAGATGTTGAAGAAATAAAACGAGGACTTACTTTTGTTGGAAATGATATTGAAACCAAAGTAAACAAAGTAGATAGTAATATGGCGATAATAAAAGAAAAAATAATTGGGATAAAGTTGTTTCAAGGAAAGTTAGTAAACGAGGCGACAGAAAACAAATGCAAAATTGTTGAGTTAGAAGATCGTAACCGGCAAAATAATTTAAGAATAGTGGGCATTAAAGAAGGAGTAAACGAAACCAATAAAGATTTATTGAAAAAAATTAAAACCCTCATTAAAGAGGACCTTAAAATAAATGAGTTTATTACAATCGAAAGGGCTCGTAGAGTTAGAAAGTTAGAAAAAATACCAAGAAAATCGTCTGCAAAATACTCAATTGGCAAGATAAATAAACAATATTAATAAACGCTCGTAAGTTAAAAGGAAAAAATATATTTGTTAACGAAGATTTTAGCGAAGAAACAACAAGAATACGCAAAGAACTTTTTGCTCAAGCTAAAATTCATAGAAGTAAAGGTAAATATGCAAAGGTGGTTTATAACCGTTTAATCGTTAGAGATATGCTGATTGAAAGTAAAGCTGGCGACAAAACAACTTAAGTAAGGTTTTATAATTTGTTTTTGAATTTCTTGATTTAACTTTTTTTTTAATGATAAAAAGCTATATGACTAAAATCGATAATTTTAACAATCCAAAAAAAAACTTTGAAAACTTTAAATCTCCTATTATAGAAAAAGTCAAATCTCATGAATACAATTTTATAAACAATTTAAATGCTAAATGCCTAAGCAATGAATACTATAAACCTGATAAATTAATTAAAGATAAAGTCAAAGAAAATTTCAGCATTTTAAGTGTAAACATGCGCTCTATGAGTAAAAATTTTGAACCCTTTAAAAATTTCTATTACTCTTTAAATTATCTGTTTGATATAATTTGAATTTCGGAAACATGGAAGGAAGCGAATATGCCTTTGTTTGAAAGTTCTCTTTATAATTTATCACTTTATAAATTGATTAGCCAACCAAGAGTGAGCGGCATCGGAGGCGGAGTTGCTATCTGTATTCGTGAATAATTTGAATTAAAAAAAAAAGCATATAGCTAAACAAATAAACATATAGAAACCTTATGCATAGAAGTCTTGAAAAAAACTAACAAATCATGACTTATTTCCTCATTATATCAACCACCTTGTGGAAATCAAAATAATTTTATAAATAGCTTTAAAAACATAACATCACAAATGTGTAAACATGATAAGTATATATTTTTTGCTGGTGATTTAAATATAGATGCTTTACATTACGAAAAGTTTTCCAACATTAAATCTTTTTTTGATTCATTACTTGAATTTAATATAATTCCTACTATTTTTAAACCAACAAGATTTATGCAAAAACTTCTTCTGCCATTGACAATATTTGAACAAACAACTTTTATAATTCTGATTTTGAATCTAGTATTATAACTGCTGATTTTTCTGATCATTTCCCCATCCTTTGTCACCCATTTTTCACATTGCACGTGGTATTCTATCTAATAGTGATAATAAAAAATGTCCTGTCACTAAAAGAAACCTTGCAAAAAAAATCTCGATAATTTAAAAAATAAACTATTTGAGGAGTCCTGGAAAAATGTATACTCAGCTAAGGATCAAAATCAGGCATTTGAAAACTTTACGGCTACTTTTAAATGTATTTTTGATACTGTCTGTCCCAAAACAACATCTGAAGTAAAAAATAAAGAGTTAAAAGTCGAGTAATCTTATAAAATCGTCTAAACAAAAGCAAAAACATTATATAAAATTTTTGAAATCATAAGATAAAGGTGATGAAAAAACGTACAAAGCCTATAAACAGTTTTTTCAAAAAAATATTCGACAAGCTAAAATAATGTATTATTCTAATCTGCTAAATAAAAATAAATTAGACATAAAAAAAACATGGTCGATTATAAATGAAGTAACTGGCAGAGAAAAAAGAAATCCTTTGTCATACCTCAAAAAATATTTTGTGATAATAAATACATTAAAAATAAATCAGATATTTACCATGAACTTAACAAACACTTTGTAAATCTTGGTCCCAGTCTCACTTCAAAAATAGTGATGCCAAATAAGAAATTTGATGAATTTATTGGAGAAAAACCCCTATCGTGTATATCAAATGAAAAAATATCCTATAAAAAATTTAACAAAGCTCTGGCTGAACTAAAGTGAAATAAGTCATACGGATATGATGAGATTACTAGCAATGTAGTAGTAATACACGTCATTGAATATGTTAGAAAACCATTATTTCATTTAATATCGTCTTCTTTTGAACACAGTACTTTTCCTGATATGCTAAAAATTGCTAAAGTCAATCCTGTTTATAAAAATGGAGATTGTAATAATATGTCTAACTACCGTCCAATTTCCCTCCTACCAGTGTTCTCTAAAGTTTATAAAAAGTAATCTACAATCGAATTTATAATTACTTGAAGTTATACAAACTTTTATATGAAAATTGATTTGGATTTCAAAAAAGTTGCTCAACAGAACATGCTATCACTGAACTTACTAATAAAATATTTCAATTTTTTGATAAAGGAGATCATGCACTGGGAATATTTATAGACCTTTCAAAGGCATTTGATACAGTTGACCACAACATCTTACTATCAAAATTAAAACATTATGGTATCAAAGGACTAAAGCATAAATGGGTAAAAAAACTATCTGAGTAACAGTAAGCAGTTTGTTATTAACAAAGAGTCAAGTGTTCTTGATATTAAGTGTGGGGTCTCTCAAGGCTCAATCTTAGGACCGTTATTGTGTTTAATTTACATCAATGATATGCATACAGCATCATCTATAGTATCTTCAATAATGTATGCTGATGACACAACTTTGTTTTATAATCATCGTAATTTAAAATCGATGTTCGAAACAATGAATACCGAACTGGAAAACTTTAATTTATGGTTTGGAGCAAATAAACTATCCTTAAACTGTGAAGAAACTAACTACATCCTATTTCATAGAACAAGTCAATCAATGACTCTACCGTTAAAAGTTCCAGAATTGCTCATTAACAACGTAGCAATAAAACGGGAAAAATATGCAAAGTTTCTTGGTGTTCATATTGATGAAAATTTATCATGGAGAAATTATATTGGACACATTGAAACAAAAATATCATCTGCGATAGGTATTTTTTATAAATGTCGCCCGTTTCTTGATTTCTGTTCAAGAAAAAAACTTTACTTTAGTCTAATTCACAGTCATCTCACATATGCTAATATAGTGTGGGCTTATATACACATAACAAAATTAGTCAAACAACAAGGCTTGCAAAACCATGCTTGTAAAGCAATTCATTTATCTAAGTAGAATAGACAATCGTTCCAACGCGATGACAAATATGAAAGTCTTAAACTTGGAAAAACTTAATTTATATCAGACTCTTATTTTTATGTTCAAATATAAAAATAATATGCTACCAAAATCTTTTTTAACATATTTTCGTCATCATTTTCTCAAAGTTATAACCTGCGATCAAATAGCTTCCATAACTATCATATTAACAAAACTAAAACCCGGGGTTCTGATTTTTCAATTATGTCACAGGGTCCTAAAAAAAGAAAAAACTTGAATATTCAAAAGTTAAAAGACATAAATGGAATATCGTCGTTTAAACGGCAAGCAAAGCTGCATATTCTTAGTTTGTAAAAATGATTATAATAAATTAAAAATAAATAAATTAAAAAAAGTAAAAAAAAAAAAAAATAAAAAAAAAATAAATAAATAAAAAAATATATATATATATAAAAAAAAAGTAATAATAATAATAATAATAAAATGTATGTATATATATATATTATATATGTGTATGTGTATGTATATGTGTATGTGTGTA